CATCCATCTATCATCCATCCATCCATCTTCTTCCTCTTATCGGGGGTTGTGTCGTGGGGTAGCAGCTTCAGTAGGGAGGCCCAGACGTCCCTCTCTCCAGCCACTTGGTCCAGCTCCTCTGGGGGAATCCCACGGAGTTCCCAGGCCAGCAGAGAAACATAGTCCCTCCAGCGTGTCCTGGGTCTCCCCCTGGACCTCCTCCTGGTGGGACGTGCCTGGAACACCTCACCAGGGAGACGTCCAGGAGGCTTCATAACCAGACCCCGAGCCACCCCAACTGGCTCCTCTCCATGTGGAGGAGCAGCGGCTCTACTCTGAGTCCTCCCAGGATGACTGAGCTCCTCCCCCTATCTCTAAGGGAGAGCCCAGACACACTATGGAGAAAACTAATTTCAGCTGCCTGGAATCGGGATCTCATTCTTTCGGTTATGACCCAAAGCTCCTGACCATAGATGAGGGTAGGAACGCAGATCGACTGGTAAATCCAGAGCTTTGCTTCACAGCAGACGCCGCACCAATCCGCCTGTCAATCTCCCGCTCCATCTTCCCCTCATTCATGAATAAGAGCCAAAGATACTTAAACTCCTCCACTAGGGGCAGTACATCCTCCCCAACCCGGAGAAGGCACTCTACCCTTTTCCGGCTCCAGACCATGATCTCGGATTTGGAGGCACTGATCCTCATCCCGGTCGCTTTACACTCGGCTGCGAACCGCTCCAGTGGGAGCTGTAGATCACGTCCTGATGAAGCCAACAAGACCACATCATCATATATATATATATATATATATATATATATATATATATATATATATATATATATATATATAAATATCCATCATTCCTGCGCTGCAACAGTCAATGTGGGGTCTAGTCTTCTATGTATGTCTATGGTTTAAACCTCCTGACCTTAACCTACCTAACTGCTGATGATGCTGAGTTTTCATTTTATTCCATGAAGTCTTTCTGTTTCTCTTCCTTCATTTCACATCAAACATAGAAATACACTCACCGGCCACTTTATTAAGTACCCCATGCTAGTAACGGGTTGGACCCCCTTTTGCCTTCAGAACTGCCTCAATTCTTGGTGGCATAGATTCAACAAGGTGCTGGAAGCATTCCTCAGGGAGTTTGGTCCATATTGACATGATGGCATCACACAGTTGC